CACTCGAGCAGTTAACTACATCATCTATTAATCTTTCTTGTTGGTGGTAAGTGGTAAGAAAAAAAGAATGTTGATCCACTAAGAATATTTCAGGTTATTCCCCTCTAGTGTGGTTGGTCAAAACATTCGAATTGGTTTGACTTCTTGCCTGAGGTCCACCGGGTGCTGCTTTTCTTCACGGACAGCTGGAAGTCCTCTGAGCTAAGCCCAGCACTGCTCACTGAAGAGTTTACGGGTTGTGGGTACCTCCTATAGGAGATTCCAATTAGCTTTATAGAGCTAGGTACAGCTATGCAGGAGCTCACCCATTGCCTGAGAGTGTCTTCATTGTCTGTTGTACTTTATTCTAAAGAGACTGTCTTCTCCTGCAGACCTGCTGCATTGCTGGCCCTCTGAGGACCCATACAAGATGTTGTCCTTTGGGAGTGAGTAGATGACAGCATATCTGCTTCCATTTATATTTCTCTGCCAACCTGAATCTGGTGGGGAAGCCAAGAGCTTGGCCTCCTAGCTTGTTATCATGTTTTTGTTCTCTGTTTAACAGGTCTGTGGCCACCATACAAATGTCCTCAAAAAGACTTCTGCCCAAGTGAGAGAGTAGAGGCATACCTAGTTTACTTGGCAGGAGGGAAACCCCCCCACCGACAAATTGTAAAATGCTTATATGTGTCTTGCCACCCACTTTGGTGTCTTTCCAATGTCTCCTCACACCCTTGTATGTAATTCGTGACTCCCTTGTCTCTCTTTGCCCCTGTACCCCTTCATTTGTCTCCTTACCCTTCCTTACCAGCTTGTGTGTCTCTTGACCCACTTTACACCCTTGTGTGTGTCTCCTGTCCCATTTAGATGCGTCTCTTAACCCTCATTATCTTATTGCATGCCTCTCATCCCTTTCATTCTTATGTATGTCTGTCTTCTTTATCCTCGCTTGCGTCTCTTAATGCCCCCTTAACCCTTATGTGTCTCTTTTTACCCTTCTCTCCCTAGCTGTTGTGTGTCTACTTTTCCCCTTAATGTTTTTGTCTCTTATTTCCTTCCTTCTTAACCCTTCGGGCCTCTTATCCCAACCTACACCTACTCACTAGTTTATTATCCCTTGCCCTATCTGAAAGGGAGTAAGAGCAGAATGGATCCCCTCCCCACCATAATCCACAAGGGTAGAAAAAGGGGCACTGGGGAGAGGATAATGAAGATCATCTACCGCCAACCCCTGAGGCCATGCTCTAAAGAGTGACAGGAAGGACATCGGTGCTCTGTGCATCCCTCCTCCTATCTGTCACCCAGTGTGAATGGCACAGTCACCCCCAATTTGTAAGCCCTTCATAAACCATTTTTGGGATTGCTTGTCAACCTAGTGGTTACATGAGCCATGATGATATCTTCCCTTCCCAGGTGACATGTATCACCAGCAATGTGAATTCCACCATTGATATGCCCCCAGTCTGGGTGCTTCATGGGAACATTCTCACATTATTCATGTAACTTCCAACTTTCACCCGATACACTGAATCAAGATCTATAGTATCACCTCTCCTTTATGTCATGAAAACATGTACCGGGCTAAAATCAGAACCAAATGACACCCCATGCATAGACATGTCAGCATGCTGTTGAGAAAGTGCCATGGGGCACAAAACCCACCCAGGAAAACCCATGCCTTCTGGAGCTTGTGTGGGGCATCTTTGGAATTAGATGTTTGTATTTCACTTTTTTTTTAGGAATCGATGAGAGATGACACTACCATACCAAACTTAATTCTGTGATTTAGGTCTTAAACAGTTAATGCAGTCATTAAACGTTACATGAAAAGGTCACTTCTATATGTATAGCTCTGTTATGTGAACTGTGCTTGTTTTTACATGGTCACACTAACATTCTGTTTCTTATGTGGCTTGTGTTTGAATTTCTGTTTTGGTCTGTGTAGCTTGTTACTAGCAGTTGTATCATAGCCTCTTGTAATAAAGAAAAAGGTGATCATTATTATTGTGACAAAAGAAAGTGATAAAAATGTCTATGTTTTAACATTTTCTTGTAATAGTTTTCTAATAATCACTTTGGTTCTATTGTAATAAAAAGCCATCTGAACATCAGTTTTTTTTACTGTTGACCTGCATCATTTTGGCCCTTAGTTTGATAACACAGGATGTCTGCTAGTTGTGTAACTTCATGATGCTGTGTCAGTCATCCCCATTTGCACCTACGTAGCATCTGGAACAGGTGCCATCATTAACTCCTCATTCAGCACATCAGTCTATTGCCTATATAAATATTTCTCATTCCACCGGCTGTGCTGTTAAGTTGCTTTGATCTTACTGTGTTTTATTCTTTCCGATTTTTGCTAGACCCATGGTTATTAACCTTTTCTGAAAAGTATCCAAATAATCTAGATGGGAATTGGCTTGTTGACCCACTCCTCAGTTTTAAAGCAAGCTCAGTGACCCATTCTTCTATGGTAATATAAGAAATAGTAAAATAAATTCTATATAACACTCTGTTAGTCTCTTTACGACCTCAGAAGGTTCTCCAGTCTATGGGGGAAAGTCAGTGGTGTAACAGTGAACAATTTATTGGGGGAAGGAATGTGATCAATGTCATGTGCCAGTTCCAACCATTGACCAAATTTAGGTTCCACCCAATGGGTAAAAAAAAACTTCCAGACTTACATTTTCTTGATTTTCTTTATCCTAGCCTTGGTTTACTTTTATTTTCCTATTATTTTCCTTTTTATAGGTTTACAATATTCTTCTGGCTCCCATTCCTTTAGCTTGTATTAAATATTACATTGTTTGATTTTCATTCATAGAAACATAGAAACATAGAATGTGACGGCAGATAAGAACCATTTGGCCCATCTAGTCTGCCCAATTTTCTAAATACTTTAATTAGTCCCTGACATTAGCCTATCCCACGCATGCTTAAACTCCTTTACTGTGTTAAGAGATAATAGTGATTACATATTATTATTATTATTATGTAATTTTTTATATAGCCTCATCAAATTCCGCAGCGCTTTACTATGATCACTTTAGCCCCTTAAGGACCAAACTTCTGGAATAAAAGGGAATCATGACATATCACACATGTCATGTGTCCTTAAGGGTTACGGGAAGATAATAAAAACCTATTTCTCTTTTTTGTTTCCATTTAATGTTATATATCTTGAACATTCTACATATCGATATCCAACCTTTGCCAAGTTCCTGAAAGCATATTTTCCAGATTGGTTATTCAACATGGATCTTTTCAAGAAAAATAGGGGTTAAGTAATTAAGTTGGAAACAGGCACTTGTCACATTTTACAATCCCCATGCTCACCTGGCTCTAAGAAGGACAGTCACTAGAAGTTTTGGAAATAGAAAAAGATTTAATTATTGAATTTATTTTATATCTAGAGTCATCATGCAAATAATGCTGATTTTGGATGCTGGTCATATGGATAATTCTTTATGAGAAGCATTTGGCTGGCAAGCTTGCCGATCTCACAGTAGGTAGATCAGGCTGCACTAATGAATCTGTTTTGGTGTTGGATTACAGGTGAGTTTAATAGTATTAATTAGAGTGTTCCTTTTTGAATCATCAAAATGAAAACATATGAACCATTAAAATATTTTTTTCTCACAATGGTGGAAAATGTATTCTAGTATATTTTCTAAATGAAACTTTGGCAAACTTACAAACAGTCCTTGCTTATTCAACAGTAAAAGATGAAGTTTCATTATTGTCCATAAAAGTTTACAATCAATTTTTCTAGTCTTGAGTACACACATAGAATATGCTATATTTTACACAATAATCAATGTGGAAATCAGAAACAGTCATTTCACTATCAAACTTTATCAGCACAAGGGCTTCATGGCTCTAAAATGGTTAATTATTTTTAGGGGAACATGCACAGTGTTGTCCGTTCACCTCAGTTTTGACCCTAGTATCTCAGAAGGAGGGGTAGGTGACGTGCTGTCACTCCCTTTCTTGGCAAGGTTCCTAAGTCTTAGACTCAGAGCAGCTGCTTTGGACCTGGACGGCCTGCCTGCCATCTATAAAATTCTGTCTCAGGTTCCTAGGGATATGGCTGCCTCCGGTGGCTACTTGATCCTTCCTAGTGGCGTGGGGTTACCTTTGCAGCTGCTGTATTATCTCATGAGTCAGAGGAGGTGGCAGCTCTGAGTGAAGAGATGAAGATAGGGTGTAAGCACTGAAATCTTTGACATTTTCTAATGATTTTATTGTTCGTCATTCATATATTTGTTGTGAGTTCAATCATTTAAGAAAATAAAAGTAACTATTATGATAGGATCATATTGCAAATTTTGAGTCCAGGCTGCTGTCCAAATATTATATTATATACTAGGGACCAGACAGAGGCATAACTAGAAACCTCCAGGCTCTTGCAACATTTGCCCTGGGCCCCATGTGTCTCATTTTCCCCCCAGCTAATCTGTGTGTCTCATGCTTCCTAGTCCCTCCATGTATCTCATTATCCCCCAGACCCTCCATGTGTCTAATTATTCCCCAGCCCTTCCATGTGTCTCATTCTCCCCTCCAGCTCCTCCATGTGTTGAATCCCCCCAGCCCCCCCATGTGTCTCATTCTCCACCACGCCTCCATGTATCTCATTCTCCCCCCAGGTCCTCCATGTGTCTCATCCCCCCCAACTCCTCCATGTGTCTTATTTCCTCCCTTCAGCCCCTCCATGTGTCTTGTTAAACCCCCAGCTCCTCAATGTGTCTCATCCCCCACAAGCCATTCCATATGTCTCAACTGTGCTGTGCGCTTCCCTCTTGCCAGTCACCTGTCGCCCATGCGCCCCAGGCAGGTGTGGTCATGCGCTGGCCTTGAAGTTATGCCGGCCCACAGTCACCTGATTCAACAAAGTGGCCGGGGCCCCTGGAGTGTTGGGTTCTCTCTACATCAGCTCTGCCATTGGGCAGAGCGACACTATATTGTTTTCAATACAGCTTTGTATTCCTAACACTATAGTGCTCCTTTAAGAAGTTTATTATTTAAAGGAACACTATAGTCACCTAAATTACTTTAGCTAAATAAAGCAGTTTTAGTGTATAGATCATTCCCCTGCAATTTCGCTGCTCAATTCACTGTCATTTAGGAGTTAAATCACTTTGTTTCTGTTTATGCAGCCCTAGCCACACCTCCCCTGGCTATGATTGACAGAGCCTGCATGAAAAAAAAAACTAGTTTCACTTTCAAACAGATGTAATTTACCTTAAATAATTGTATCTCAATCTCTAAATCGAACTTTAATCACATACAGGAGGCTCTTGTAGGATCTAGCAAGCTATTAACATAGCAGGGGATAAGAAAATCTTAGTTAAACAAAACTTGCAATAAAGAACGTCTAAATAGGGTTCTCTTTACTGGAAGTGTTTATGGAAGGCTGTGCAAGTCACATGCAGGGAGGTGTGACTAGGGTTCATAAACAAAGGGATTTAACTCCTAAATGGCAGAGGATTGAGCAGTGAGGCTGCAGGGGCATGTTCTATACACCAAAACTGCTTCATTAAGCTAAAGTTGTTCAGGTGACTATAGTGTCCTTTTAATATTTGAGTTGGCCTAACTTAACCAGACACAGGATAACACTTGGATGAAAACCCAAGAATTACAGTGTCTTGCACAAGTATTCATCCCTCCCCATGCCCGGTTACACATTTTATAATGTTAAGACCTGAGATTTTTTGTATTTTATTTTAATTTCAGAAAAAAAATATTTTAATGACAAAATCAGAAAGAATATTACACATGTAAACAACCATGCTAATATTTGTTTGCTGCAAAGTTAGCAACTGAATTTAGCAACATAGACAATATATTATTGATGTTAGGGAAGATAATCTATCAACCTGTCAAAATGACCAGGTTCAGCTTAAGTTCCCATAAACTGCCCTGATATTTCTACTTGCCATGAGACGTGGAATGCAGTTGGTGTTTCCTAAATAAACTTTATAACTAATAAAATGTACCATCTGCCATCTGACACAGGATGTGACCTAAGACCTAAGCACACTGTTTGGTTGACCCAAACTTTGTACTGATTTCCTGAGTTTTTGGAAACTTCAAAGTAGATACAGTAAAGTGTCCATAGTCAGAATGTAGAGGGTCATAGCAGAATTATATGTGTACATTGTATGCAAGTGCACAATTCATAGCTAAAACGTATGGCTTTTATTAATAAAGTCTAAAAGCACTGGGAAAAGGAATTATAATTCAAAAAGAATCTTTTGGTGTGTTTCATAGCATCGCTATGGTGGTGATTAAAAAATGGACTCATAATACATTATATTGCTGCTACAATTATATAAAGATTTCTTTATGGATGGTTAGAAAGTGATGCTATGGGTACCATAAACTCTTATTTTTCAAGACCATGCTAAATGCAAAACGAAAATACATTGAGCAAATCATCAGGAATACAATCTAATAAATAAACTACATATTGTGAGCAGCACAAAAATGAAATTCCAAAAGCTCTGACATATAAAGTCCATTTCTGGGTCTTCTGTGTTCCAAACCCAAAATGTTCATTATGGAATCGAAAGAGAAACATATTGAAAACGAGAGAAATCTCAATGTATCATTCCTGGTAAAATATTTTAGAAATAATAAATAATAATAATATATAAGTAAAAAAAGATATTAGCTGCACACAATTTTCATCTCTGCACACAAGTTGGAAATATTATAAATTGCCCGGTGCCAGCCAGGGCTCAAGAGTATTCAAGTAGAAAAAAGATATTAGCTGCTCTCACGGTCTGTGATAAAACTTCAGTTCTTTATTGGATTCTTTAAAATTAGTTCTAAATAGATCGAATTTTAAAGAATCCAATAAAGAATTATTGTGTGCAGGGACGAAAATTGTTTATATATATATATATATATATATATATATATATATATATACCAGTTGTGACACTAGATGTGGAAAGTGAAGGCAGAAGTCCCAGTTGCGATGGGAGCACTCGGGGCTGTGACTTCCAAGTTAGGGGAGTGGCTTCAACAAATTCCAGGTGGGACATCTGAGATCGCTCTCCAGAAGAGTGCAGTTCTAAGAACAGCTAAGATACTGCACAGAACCCTCAAACTCCCAGTCATCTGGTAGAGGACCCGAGAATGAGCAATAAACATACCACCCAGGAGGGGTAAGAAAATGTATTTATTTATAAAATATTTTACCAGGATGGATACATTAAGATTTCTCTCATTTTCAAGTATGTCCTGGGTCCACAAAACATTGCATTGTTACAATAGGGCACAATATTACAAAAATACAATATACAAATAATATATATGTATATACATACACACATATATAAAGTTAATACATAACAGGTAATGAATATATTCAACCAATTTCATATATCTATATATCTATCCACGATCCCAGCACTCAAGTTCCCCGGTCTTAAATGTGCCCCGGTGCCAACTCCAGCCACAATATACAGAAATGAAGACGAGTGCACTCTGGGGTCTGAAGAAAGTATTAAAATGTATGCTTTTTATTCAGCACATTAAATATCGACGTCTTGATAAAAGTCAGTTGGGACTGAAACGTTGATATTTAATGTGCTGAATAAAAAGCATTAACTTTAAAACTTTCTTCAGAACCCAGAGTGCACTCGTCTTCATTTCTGTATATATATATATTATGGTTTCACCACAACAACTCTGGAATTATGGTCCTGATAAAGTGCTTTTAGCACAAAACATCTAAATAAACATGGTTCCTAGGAGCATTTAACCACTCCATGTTTGCAACAAAGGTATCATTTTATTTAATTTAATCAAACGGTAGTGGTGGAACCTCCTTCATTGGTGCCAGCTTCATTTTCAGCATTATTGGCAGTATACTTATTTGAAGAGGAACAAATAGACTATATTGTGAGGCTAGGATTTGATTCGAAAACAGCTTTCCTTGCTGCTAAGAATACCAGATAAGCAAGAAATAACTGAGTAAAGGCAAACCAGAGTGGGTGAATGCATGTCATACATTAAATCTGGCTGATGTACAGCACCTATTCCCTCCTTCACTACATTCCCATCCTCCCACACTACACCCCTATCCCCCTACAATCACACTACAAGCCCTACCCCCTAACCTACAGCCCCAACTCTGCAACCCCTACACTTACTCACTCTCAGCTTCTATCCCTCGTACACTAAAGTCCCATCCTTCAACTCTATACCCAAATCCTCACCTATCAACTCACGAGAGCCCCTACTCTCTACTCTAAAATCCCAAATTCCCACACCCTGCAGTCCCTATTCTTCGTACGCCACAGCCCCTATCCCCCCTACACTACAGCTCCAACTTCCCAAACTGCATGGAGCTAGTTTGGGGACTTACATAAAGGACTTGCCCCCTGGTAGCTCATGACTTCGATACGCCCCTGGGCATTAGTAATGCTTTGTGTGTCTATCAGCAGTTCTCAAAGTGTGGTGACTCTCCGCAGAGAGCAATTAGATATTGGGAAATATCAGATATTTAACAGTTCTGGTCTTGGAGCTGTCTGTATCAGCGTTTACCTAGCTATCGCTGAATGCATGTCTGCATGCAGTGCTTGCGTGACGTGCTGGGACATTCACACGTACTCTGGCTGATAATTTCTAGAGAAAGTTTGTAACATTTTTGGATTGTAATTTCACTGAAAACTGTTGCAATAGCAACAGGAATTCCAACTGTATACCGAAACTGGACTGTAATTTACCACTATATTAGTTAGCAGTAACATATAGCAATATACACAGAAAAACATTAAAGGAACACTGTATTTCTAACACTTTAGTGTTTATATCAAGCAGTTTCTATATGTTTATGTTTAGGCTGTGTGTGCGTATGTGTGTCTTAGGCAGTTTGTGTATGTATGCAGAGGTGTAGCAAAGAGGAAACAGAGGGGGGCAAATGTGTACCAGCAGTACCTTGTGGCAAGTGTCTGCTCTGCCACGAGTGTCTGATGCTCTGCACCACGCACTGATACATGGAGGTGGGATGTGATGTCACCCAGCAGCAGCATGGAGATGCAGGACGCTGTGCATCTAGTGCACAACAAAAACTCAGTTGTTATATTACATAACAAATCCTTTGGAGTTGATACAATTGGGTTATACTGGTGCAACGGCTACAGACTTTGACGTTTCACAAAATGGAAATCCAAACAACAGAAGATGAAGCTTGACTGATGAAACTTCTCCTGCCGTTGTTTGAATTTCTCTGTTTGAAACGCTGAAGTTTGTTGCTGTTGCAACAGTGGAGATTTTTACCGTTGTTTGCAACTAACGCAAACACTGTTGCTTCTTAAATAGCTCCCAAAGTATAGTTTTTACTCTGATTTGTTAACTATAGATATGGTACTTGCCAACTTTGTGTATATATATATATTTTAGTTTTTTAGTGGTACGATTTAGTGGTGGAAATTATTAGTCGTTGTCCTCCAGGTTTGTCTGTGGTATCTTTTGCGCCTCCCCTGTATTGTTCCTAGTATCGCCTATGATTGGATTCAAAGCTTTCCTATGAGATGCAGCCTTATGTCACCGAGTTTTACCGAGGAAGCATCACTAGTGACAGTCATAATGACAGCCACTAGATGTGTGTTTGTCAGACTGCAGTTTCTACAAAACTGTAATGTTTTACATTGCAGGGTTAAAAGGACAGGACCACTGCACTCAGACCATTTCATTGGGTAACTTTAGTTGTCCTGTAATGGCAGGATCCGCAAGCAGGCAGGGACAAATAAGCTGTAATTGGGAAAATGACAAATTCAAATACCTATTACATATTTACTTAGCATAATAGTTTTCATGATATCCACGTATCAGTGGAGATCTGAGCAAGCCTCCAGTAGTCTGTTCTAGTTCTTGTCTGTTCTAGTTGTTAGATCTTATGTACGTAGTGCTCTAGGTACTTTTCCATTGTGTCTGCATTTTGGAAAATCACATACTAGATCAGATAAATGTAACACTTCTGTGACTCATGAAGAGCAGGCACGTCATAAATTGCAGCAAGCCACTATTAAACCTATACGCCGAAAATAACTGCACCAGGATAACAGCCGATTAGTATACTCAACTACTCAGAATATGTGTGCAATCACTCAAGGAACAAATCACATGAAAGGAAAGTGTTAAATAACTATGGGGAGCTTACAACCGAAATGTTCAAAATCTTTAGAAAATCAAACATATTTTTACCTCTTGGCCAATATTATTTACAGCAATAAAGGAAACTATTTCAGTAAAACATGTATTATCAGATATTATTTTACCAGAAAGATTAAGTTATGGAGAAGTATCTGAATCACATATGCATTGTAGGTACACTCTTGACATGAGTACACTTAAGTTTATAGCATAGTAATGAAGGCATACTGACTGTAATGACTATTTGAATAATGGCTAC